GGGCCTAATATATTAAAGTATGTATCAGGGATAATAATTTTTTTGACGATTTTATCCTCCTTGCAATTCAATTATTTCAATAATGCTTTACTTTTCATTTGTCGATATGTGATAAAATCGTCATTTATGAAATTTATGTTATTAATTCTCAATTAATTACATTCACATTTATCTAGATTTAATGAATTTTCACTTGATGAATCTTGAATTATATGAATCTAGAGTTATTATAAATGAATGTATTTATATTCATGTATCTAAAAATTTTAATGAGTGTTTAAATTTATGTATTAACAATTAATTTTCATATGTCAAATGTAATATAAAAATATTGCTCATTTATAGTATTTAATCATTAAAAAAAATTTGAATCATAGAAATTGAGTTTTGAGAATACAATTTTCTTCTTTTTAATTTCTGTGATAAATTTTTTTCTCATCAAATCCTCCAACAAATTGATACCAAATGTTACTTTATATCACTTTTAAAGTATTTTAGAATAATGTGCAATGTATATTCAACTTTGAATAATATCTCTTAATAAGGGCAACTCCAACACTTATCAAATTGATCTATTTTCTATTCAATTTTTTTTTGGGTAATCAATATCAGGAAGAATGATACCATGAATCCGATTTATTCCAACTTTCTCTATGAAATTGTCTATCGAAGTTTTTTCTCTACTGCTCACAAAATATATCTCTTAATAATAATAATAATAATAATAATAATAATAATAATAATAATAATAATTTAATAATAATAATAATTATTATTATTATTATTTGTAATAAACTTTAATCATGTAATCAATAATAATAGAGGATTGAATTAAAATAAAAGTGCTCAAAAAGTTTTAAAACATGACAAACATAATTATTTAAAATTAAAACGAAACATGATTATTAAATTAAAGAATTTAATATTGTCGTTAACGAAGCGTAATTATTTATGTAGTAATTTATATAGTAGTAAATAAAATAAATAAATAATTTTTTAGATGTATAAATTGTTAAGAATAAAAAAAATGAAGAAAATGATTAGATACTGTTCATTTGGTGCAACTTTTGATGTGATGAGTTGGAGATATTTTTAATTTGATACAAAATTTGGTGCAAAGTTCATCTCAAAATTTGGTGCAAAGTTGGGAATGTCAAAGTGCTTCAAAGGTCCACTTCTACCATATGTTTCAACCTTTTACCCTCTTTTCCAGTCATTCATTTCCCTTTTCCTTTTCCTCACATGGAGATCAGCTCCATTAGATTAAAATAGCATGCTCAATTGATGCAGGTAAAATGGTGACTCATATCCTTGACAATACCAACTATTATGCTTAGGCAAGATCCATGACAAGAGCCCTTCAAATAAAAAACAAACTCGCTTCATTGATGGGAGTCTGAGTGAACCAGTAAACCCCAACAGCTTCTTGATGGAGCACTGGCTCCGGTGCAATGACACAGTGATTGCTTGGTTGCAAAACGTGATGTCCATTGATGTCAAAGCCTGTACGTTGTATGCTGATACAGCTCGAGAACTTTGGGTAGACCTAGAACATCAACTAGCACAGAAAAATGCTCTACAAGTTTTTGATGTAAAACAAGCCATTATCACCTTGATGCAAAATCATGATATTTTAAGTGTTTACTTCTCAAAATACAAGACTCTCTTTGATGAATTAATGAACCACGAATCTATTCCTAACTATACCTGTGGAGGATTGAAATCTATTATTGAAAAATAGCAAAGGGACTAGGTTATGAAGTTTTTAATGGGATTGAATGACTCATACAAAGCAACCAAGGCTCAGGTTCTGTTGATTAAGCCTTTTCTTAATCTCAATGAGGTATACTCTATAATTCGACAAGAGAAAAACAGAAGACAAATTTCAACAAACCTTTCCATACCTAATTCAATGGCACTAACTACCAGAGGGACTTTTAGTGATGCAATGAAGAAGAATGGAACAACACAAAGGAAGTATTATTATACCTTCTTCAAGACACCTAGAAATTCACTAGATATATGCTTTAAAGCCAATCCTAACAAACCAGTTTGTAGCCATTGCCGTATACTGGGGGACACTGTAGATAAATGTTTTGAAACCTCCGGATATCCCCCTGGACACAAGTTACATGGAAATGGAAGTTCCTCTGTAAATCTAGTGTCCTTGCCCGAACAGAGATATGCTGGCAACAGCAATCATGCACAGCTTCCAGTTCTGCTCAAATCACAAAGCATTCAGTGCCTCACCATATCAACCTCTGTAAACATACAGATTTTAAAACTCTCAGGTATCTCATCTAGCTTATATGCATGTGGCACCAAACCTAAACAAGATTTCTAATATACCATGGATAATTCAGCACCATTCAAGCCAAAGTGTCTTATTCAGTCTCTTTTAAGAAAACCTAATTTTGCACAATGTGCTTTGTGTTCCATCTTTTTCATTAACCTGATATCTGCTAGAAAATTAACACAAACATCTAGGTATTGTCTTATATTCTTTTTTGAAAATTGTTTTGTGCAGGACCTTTTGACTTAGAAAACTATTGGAATAGAAGAAGTGAGGCAAAGTTTATACCATTTTCTGCAATGTCAAGTCTTTCCTTCAACTTTAACCGATGCTTTTTCCTTTATTTCAAATAAAACTTCTATGTTAGCTGCTATTTCTAGATACTGAGAATTTTGATCTCTGACATTATAGGGTAGGACATCCATCTCATTCTAGATTAGACTTGATGAGTATTGTTTAAGTTCCTAGATATGCGAATGAACCTTGTTCTGTTTGTCCTATGGCTAAACTGCATAAACTTTCATTCTCTGTCAGCCACCACAAGTCCAAAAATAGATTTGATCTCATATATTATGACCATTGGGGTCCTTGTAGTGAGACTAACTATGATGGATCCAGATATTTCTATCCGTCATCGATGATTTTAGTAGATGCACATGATTTATACGTTGAAGAATAAATCAGATGCTACTGCTGCTTTGCAAGGCTTTTGTGCTTTAATAAACACCCAATTTCAATCACAAATAAGAATCATTAGAACTGAGAATGGAGATGAGTTTGAAATGAAAGTCTATTTTTACCATAAAAAGGGGATCATACACTAGAAATCTTGTGCTGAAACACTACAACAAAATGCAATAGTTGAACAAAAACACCAACACATCCTTAATGTTGCAAGAGCCTTAAAATTTCAAAGTGTCCTTCTAATGAGATACTAGAATGATTGCATTCTTACTGCAGTGTATCTTATAAACAGGATTCCCTCAGCCTTACTAGACAACAAAACCTCTTTCGAAATCCTTTTCGAGCACAAACCAAAC